TGCACAAGCGCCCCTGGTGGAATAAATGTACATAATATCTATAGATATGTCACCATCCATGTTAATTTTACCTGGATATATATAGATATACAGTCTTGTAGTTTTCGTTTTTTATTAATTGTAATTAAACGACACTGAATTAATTAATCATTCGCATTCAGTGACCTACAATCGTCGATTAGAATTTAAAAAAAAAAAAAATTTAACTCAAATAATGGATTTTTTCACAAGTTACAGTGTTTCCGGGTTTCACACATGACGGACAGGAAAATTTTTTGACCTATTTTGATATTTTTTTTCGTTTCTATTGCAGTAAATCAATTTTTAAAAAGTATGGAATTAATCTCCATTAAATTATCTCGACAATAGTATGCAAAATATCTTGATTCCGTGAACTTACAAGGCTATAATAATAAAAATAGCTGCCAAAATGAGGCGAAAAAAATTTTTCGATCGTAAAGCACTCTCTGATGCTTCGCATCATGAGTCGTGCAAAAGCCATTGTTGTTAAAACATTGCTGGCAAATTATTTTAAATTTGCTACTATTATGCAACTTTAACAGAGAAACATATAACACCATAACTAAAGTTTGCAGTTGGTAAGTAAGTATATACATCTGCTACGATGTATTCATATCATACAACACGATCAAAACTTAATAACTTTTTATGCTACAATGTATTCATACAACACGATTAAAACTTTATAACTTTTCATAAGTCGATAACTTTTTTTTTATTTCCATATATAACAATCGCCTTTGTCACAATAGATATTATTGATTTTAAGGAGTTTAAAACATATTTAATTTATTCTGGAATTGCGTTTTAAGGATTTCCAAAAAAATTATAATTGGGAAAAATGGTAAATCTTGTCATTTTCGACCACTTCAAAATCTGAACTCTTCTCCAATTTTCTGCAGAAGATGATCAATATGATCAATATGATCAGTCCAAAACTGCATTAATCTGAAAGTATTTACCATATTTAACTATGAATCTTATAGTAAAAATAATTTTTTATTCTTACCATGGTTATAAATTTAAATCCAGATCAAGCTTCTAGATCATATATTTTGAATTTGTTCATTTATTAAAATATCATAAGATGTGCTGTCACTGCAATTAATCTTATCGAATAGTAAATAATAATTAAATTGAAATAATAATTATTGAGACAGACAAATTCATACTAACATAAGTACATATAACTATAATGAAAATCTCTGAAGTTTCAAATTTTATATTGGATTCATAAATGAATTTTTGATAAATAACAATTATTTTTCTCAAATTCTAGTTTTTAATTCCATTGCTATATTCTTAATTCTTATAAAATAATTTAATTTTTTTGCAACATCAAATTACTTTAAGTTAATTACTCACGAACATATAAAAAACGAGTGCTATTTATTCAATATTAATGTGGGGTGCATCACAAAACTATATAAATAAAATTTACATAAATAATAGACAAAACTATAATAACAGAAGAACTTGGGCAAGTAAAAAATCTTTAAAACAGATTTTTTTATGATACTGAAATAAGAAGACATCTGACAATTTTTGGAATTTTTATAACCAATCAATTATTATAGACAATATATTTTTTAAAATTCGCGTTTATAATTTTTTTAAATTTCTACATGGGGAATTTTTTCGGTAAATTTTTTTCATTTTATAATTTAATTATTATGAAAATCTAAAAAATTGATAGATGTCTGTTAAATTCAGTTACATACGTTTTTTCTTAAATAGTACTTACCAACATTTTTTACAAGCAGCATAAAATTATAGAAGAAAATAGTATTTTTAAGAAAAAATTATTTAAAAAACAAATACCTGATATTCCAAAATATTGAACGCCGTAAATAAAAGTCATTATAATGGTCAATAAGATAAATTAATGCTGGTTCACCATATAATAACAGAAAGTAATTTATTGGCAATAATTTTTTTTATCCACCAGCACTGATGATGATTCTAAAATCAAGACAATGAATAATTAATTTTTTTAAAAAATAATTAGCCGAGTACAAAAATTATAAATTAAATTGAATCATCATTAAACTAAATTTCACACGATACATGTATTTTTTTTAATTAATAATTGTTATTTTTTGAGTTGGCTGATGTATTAAATTCATCTTGGAAATTTTGTATGTCACACCGTCCAAGGTTCGCGTAATTCTGCGGTCGCTGTAATTTGTATTATTGATAGACATTGTATATGTTTTAATATGATGATCAAATGATTTCTGCGCAAGTAGGGGTTGGACGATTTGTAAACTCATATTGCTGAGTATACCGTATGATTGGCTAAAAATTTTTATCTTCGAGTGTGCGTAAACGACTGGAAAATATTTAATTTTAATTCCAGGGAAAAAATTATTTTATAAATTTTTAATGCAAGTTGCAATAAAAGTTTATCGAATAGTAATGAATTTTTTATTACGAGTCATACATTATTAATTTTTCTTCTTACCTTTCTAAAAAATGATAGCCCGTTAGCTAAAAGTACACTTCTGGTTTTTTAGCTTGATTAATTTTTTTAACTGATAAATAATTGTGATGAGGATACTATTTTTAAGTGAAAGTAAAATTTTACGATGCTTCGTTTAATTTAATCAATTCATTAATTATTATTTTTTGTTTGTTCGGTTGATTGAATTGTTAGCAACAGCCTCGAAATATATGGTGTAATACATGTGGAAACATAAGAAACTTTCATTAAATAACCAATATTACTCCTAAAATTTTTTTTGAAAAAAAATTTAATTATAATTTTAGTCAAATGAAGGTATTTTATAGTATTTTTTGACACTGTTACAAGTCAATTTTAAGTTATAAGTTTGATGAGTTTTTTAATAGGCACTACTAGTGTGAAAAGAAGAAATCAATATTTTTTTTGGATTTTTCGAAAGTTTATCTTCTTAAAAATAATATTATTTCAAGTAGGTATCTTGAATAGTTTTTCTTAAAAAGGTATCTTAAAAAGACGGTTCATCCGTCAAAAGGTACGTTACATTCATCTTTAAATGCGTCCTTTTTAGAACTAAAATTTAATAAAGTATATATTTAATAATTTAATAAACTACATTTTTCAAATTTGCTGTAGTTTTTGACTCGACGAAAAATTATCCGAATAATTAAATTTTTTTGGTTTTTAGTTTTTAATTCTCTAAAGAATGACCCTCCAATTTTTTGATTACATAAAAAGTAAAATTGTATCAATTTTTTTTTTTAAACTACGCTATTTTTTTTAATTTTAATGTTTTGTTATTTATTTTTTTTTTTTTGGGTCATTACGTAAAAAATATTTTCTAGCTTAATAAATGGGAGGGTTTCCGATAACTACGAAAATGTTGAAGATTTTTACTTGAAAAAGTTTTTATGTATTCACTTGAAATATATATAAACATGGCCTAAAAATTTCAAATCAATCGTTACAATAGTTTTCTTTTTAAAAATCCCAAAAATTACCTTTTTTTGAACGATTACAGTAGTCGTATTTCTGAATAATAAGTATCATATTTTCGTTTCAACTGTTATTTACCTCTTAATTAGTTATTCTCCAACTTTTGAAGAAATAAGTTACAAATTTTCAGAAATTTACTAAATATTTTCAGAAAATTTTTTTTTAACGACATTTTTAATATTATTTTAATAAATGAAAATTAAACTTTTAATAATAATTACTTACGTAGCTTCAACATTTCCAGATAATCCAATCGATCAGATAAGAACCGAATAAAAACTTTTTTTTATATTGTGTAGGAAAGAATAACTATTGATGGAATAATAAATGACATTACCTCAATTTTATATTTTAACTTAGCATTATTTATTAAATATATATATAAATTTTATTTTCATTTAAAATATTTTTTTTTTCGAATTTCAAATTAAATTTATCAGATATTCAATAATAAAGTTGGCCATCCATAAAATAAAATAGATTACAAATCATTAAACGTGAATCTTTTTCATTATCAGCACCAATTATCTGTATTTTTTTCGCGTTGTCTGCAACAAAGATTTATTTTTAGTTCTCAATATTATTATAAAAAAAAAAAAAAATTAGTTAATATTAAAAAAAAGTAAATACCTAAAATACTGGTGTGATTATTTTCAAGTCCAACACGTACCCATTGCCGATATTTCAAAACAACTTGATTTATCATTTTAATGATGTCATCGTGAATACTTTCTTTCAACAACATGTCAGGTAAGCTTTTTATAAACTGTATAAAATTACTATCACTGAAAATATAAAAATTATTTAATTAGTAACCAAAATCGTAAAATTGCACAAAATAATTTTTTTTCAAACTTTTCGTCTCAAAATTTCATTACAAATTTAAAAATAAATTCCGCTATAACTCGTAATAAAAATTAAGTATCTTACTGGTTAATTTCATTCTGTTGATCCAACAAAATATCACCAAATATTTTGAACAATTTAATATTAACTAGCAGCGTTGAGTCTTTGAGACTCGTAGCAATTATCGCTCGTACAGTTGATTCTAAATTAACACCACTTTTGTATAAAATTTTACTGCAATTAATAAGTATCAACCGGACAAGTTTTATTAACTGTGAGACAATAGACGGATCGTTATACCAATAATTCAGGGAATCTAAAACAAAACAATAAATTATAATATCTCAATTTTCATAGTCGAATATTTAAAAAATAAAACAATTATAATTACCATTAACAAACTGAACAATCTTCTGACAATTTTGTTTACTGATTTCATTTAATCTATTAGTCTGACTATACGAAACAATCCACATGTAAATATAGCTGAGAGCCAAATTTTGCTCTAAGCAATTCCTATTGCGAGTGTTAATTACTGCTGACTCAAAATCATTCTGTCTTTTGGTGGCGGCAGTCTTTTTATCAGCAACAATTTGGACAGCTTTGAAAGAGTAAGGAAAGCTGTTCATGAAATATTTCGATATATTATTTTTATATTTATTGCAGAAGTCAAGAGCAATATTTGCGTCGTCTATTTTCGGTTTTACGATGTCAATAAACTGGATGATCAATTGCATTATGGACGTAATAGACGTCAAAAAATCCTTGGTGTCATTTGAAATCAAAGAACTATTTTCACCGGACGTTTCTTGAGGTCTAACTTCAACCCAGCTCTCAAATATCAATGGCATCAAGACATCGATGTACTTTATGAATTCATAAAATTCAGAATTGTATTTTTTACTTATCAGATCATTGCAATTGTTATCAAAATTAATATGAAACAACTTAGTATCATTTTTGTAAAGAGGTAGGTAAAAAGTCTTCTCCTGGATATTAATTTTTTTTTCTTCCATAGAATCTTCCTGAGAGTAATACCTCAAGCGAATATCGTTGATGATGGTGCTAAAAATACTGGACAAACGATCAAACACTTTGTTTCTCCATTTAACAGTCGTTAGCTTCGAGCTCAATGTTGTTGAGAGTTGACGATTCGATTGAGTTTGGTTTTTCGAAATAAAGTCCAAGAAGAGTGAAAGTATTTTTTGTGAATTTTTTGCAATCAAGTGACATGATTTTTCGACAATTATGTCTAGGAAATTTAGCGAGTCTTCTTTTATTGCGGGTGTTATGTGAGTCATCGCACAGCATAAGTAGGAAATTAAAGTTCCTGAAAACGGAGCCAGATATTCGGGTTTTATGGATCCCAGAATCAAAGATATTGTCTTTAAGGTATCGCGCCGAATATCTTGTTCTCTGTCGAGTACTAATGCACCCAGTCCTTGTAATATTGTACTTAAATTTGAATTAAGTATTTCAGATGGGTGGTTCTTAAGAATGTCGTCCAGTTCTTTTATTGCTTCCTGTCGGACTGACGAGTTGTGATGGTGAAAACGGGTCAGTAAATCCTGTAACAATCGTTTTTTAGTATTAATTCATAAAAATAATGAATTTATATTCATTTTTTTTGTTATTATACTGATGTACATAGACAGCTTACAATTTTTAGAATTTTTCATGAAAAATTATTATGAAAAAATTTTACGTGTTGAAATTAAAAAAACTATGTAATTTTTTTTATTATTAATTAATTTTATAAAATAAACTAAAAATTGACAGACGATTGCTGACTTCTATATTATTCTTACAAAAAAATTTACAATTGTAAGCACAGTGGGCATGAAAAAAATTTTAAATTACAAAATATCATTTCAAAAATGAATAAAAATAATTATATGAGAATGATTGCAAAAAAATTAATAAAATTTTTATTTACTGAAATTTCAACAAAATCAAAAAATTATGACATTAAAGTTAACAGTCACTTAACAATTTTTGAATTTTATTTTACAAAAAAATTTGTCCAAAAAAATCATTTTAAAAAAATTGCATTTTTTTATTTTTTTAAATTTTCACATGCCAATTTTTTTTTTGCCATCATTTACTTGTTATAAAATTTTTAAAATTATTGAATATAGGTATGCTAAATTAATTTTCATCAAAAAATTTTCACTTTATTCATGCCCATGAAAATTTTTATAAAAATACTAAAATCAGTTGAAATCTGATTATTTTTTGGATTAATTTTAAAAATTAGTTATTATTAAAAGAATATTTAAAAAAAATTTAATTCTCATTTTTTTTTAAATTTCTAATTCTTATAATAATAATTTATTTGTCTAGAAAAATGATCTGATGCCTGTTAATTTCATAATTATTTTTTAAAATTAATAAAAATAAAAAAGCAGTATAATTACCTTAACATTTAATTTTCTTCGACTCAAAATTTCAGATTGATCATGTTCCTTTAATTGTTCTCTAATTACTATTTTTTTAACTTTAAACGTCGTATCAGTAATATTTTGTCCTTTGGGTAACAATTTTGCCTTCGCTTGCTTTAATTTAACCTTTGATTTTTCTGATTTTATATTTTTCTTATGTCGGTTATTTTTACCCATTTTATTATTTTATTTTTATAATTTCTTCTTTTTAATTAAAACTTAAAAAAAAATATATTCTAAGCGGTATTCAATATTTAATATAAAATATTTTTTTAGGTTATCAAATAATAAACAGCGTGTTGAAAAAATACCCATGTGGACTTCCCCCACTCTTACAAAATTTAAAAAAAACGCATTGTATATACCGTATTACGGTAAGATGATTAGTTACTAAACCAGCAGAGTAAATTTCGATTTGTCGCTTCTCACTTTTCAGTGGTACTCTTTTTTGTGCTGATTTATTTTTCTTTCATTCATAATGTAATAATTCAGTGACATCACATGGCATTGTAAATGACTCTCAAAAAAGTATAATACACAAAAGATAAATATTATAAAAAAACAATTATTTACATTTTGTTATTTACGATGTTCTGTTTTATTATTCATTTTACTTGCAACAATAATTAAGTCTTCGGAAGTAAATAAATAGGTAAAAATTCATATCATGTAAGTAAAAATTTTATTCAAATAAATCAATTGTTTATTCAATCAATATTATTCCAATAACGTAATTCAAGTGTTGCTAATTATTACTCAATATCCATTAATAATACTGATTATTTAAAAAAAAAATAAATTAAAATTGTACAATTTCATGAAACGTTAGAGGTTAAAAGTATATTACATACCTAGGCCAGTAAAATAAGAAAAGTCTCAGACCACATGTAATTGTTGGCCGAGGCGAAGCCGAATGTGGCAACTTTGTTTAGCGCAGCGGCCAGAAAGTTGCCACTTTCCGGCCAGAGGGCAGAAAAATTTTTTTAAATTTACTTTTTGTGATTGCAAGTTTTCTAAAAAATATTGATGCAGTTGATATTTAATTATTGCATAAATTACTTCATCCAAAAGTGATATTCCATAAATCTAATTGAATAATTCTATAACAACTCAGTCGATTTCGGTTTGGAGTTAGGAGTGATAAACTTTTAGATTAAAAAATCATTAACTGCTCGTAAGTTCTTTAAATCAGTAATTAGTGGACTGAAAATTTTTTTTTTAATTTTTTAAATTATAGATAATTATTTTTTGGAAGTAGAGATTTTCTTTTTTAATTTTAATTTTTTTGTTTAGAATGTATAGATAAAATGTGAGTGTTGTAATTGATAGCTGTTTAATAATTTTTTTAAAGTAGTTTAAACACTTGAATTGAATATTTCGGCTGCCCAATTTCAAAACACAGTAAGGGGACATCCATTAATTACGTGAGCTCAGAATGAGGGCGGAGGGGTCCAATGAAATCTCACCAAATCTCATCTAAGCCGAGGGGGGGGGATAATCAAAAATCTCACCTCAACTTCAAAAAATATAAAATATTACAGACATTAAAAAAAAAATTATTTTGAGTGTTTATTTTGCCCGCTAAAATAAATTTTATGTCTATTAAAATCATTTACGCTGATGATTTAAACAAGCTCTTCCCAGAGCTAATGGTGGACTTCTTTAACATTATAATTATAATATAAATTATAATATGTATGTATAAAAAAAGTACATGAGTCTCCATGGATTGAGTAAAAATTAAAAAAAAGTGTTGTTTTTATGGTTTTTTTGCTTTAAATTTTATTTAATTTAAATAAATTAACTATAGTATACTTGAATGGTTTATTATTCTCCCGAATAATAAAAATAATTTTAATTTAAAATATTTTTAGCGTCAATCTCACGTAAGGGGAGGGGGGGGGGTCCAGACAAATCTCACTAAATCTCACCTAAGGGGGGGAGGAGTCTAAACTGATCGAAAAATAGCTCACGTAATTAATGGATGTCCCCTAACTAACATTTTAAAATTTTTTCCAATTTTTCTTATTAAAAAAAAGTTTGCCCGCCAAATTGATAAAAAATTTGATTTATGGATTGAAACTACTTAAATGTAAATATTAATAAAAAAATACTTAAAACTAAGGTCTAAAAGTTAAAAAAAATGCAACAATACTAAAAAAAAATCAGGGATAAAAATTTTGCAGTTACTGTGTTTTAAAATTGGGCAGCCGATTTGTTGTAAAGATTAGAAAAAGTTATAGAGAAGAAATCTTGAAGATTTATCGAACAGTAATTTCTTGTAATTTAATGTTTCATACAAACATAAAAATGACTATTTTAAATATTTGTCATAAAAAATTAATATTTATTTTTATGATTTGATATTGAAGAATATATATATATATTTACTCTAATTAAGAATAAATTAAATTTTTATTTTGTAATGTTAAGAAATTCGAAGAAATCATGAGACATTTTGTGATTAATCAATTAAATAGCTTGATAAATTTGTTCCTTCAAATGTTGAAAAAAAAAATTCAATTAACTGTTCCCTAGTTTTTTTTTTTCCATGCGACCAAAAAAATGAATTAAATTACCCTATGGTTCTTTTATAAAAATTTTTGGTTTTTCTCCGAGTTTGAAAGTTGAAAAAAACTTTTTTTATTTTAAAAAACGTTTTGATCCTTCTTTAATAAATTTTTATCCTAAAATTTGGTCATTTGTAATTACTAAAAATTAAAAAAAAGTTTTCATAACTCGAAATTTGAAAAATATTTATGAAGTATGTAGTGTTTAGAATAAAAAATCCGAATTTTGAAAAAATTTGTTGTCTTAATTTATAAAAAAAAAATAATTTTTAATTTAAAAAAAAAAAATGGTCTTATTAAACCATTACTATTTTCTGTAGAAATCTTTTTCCACGTAACTTGATAGTTCATTCATGTAATTTATAAAATTTCATATTTAATTACTATACATGCCATCTGATAAAAAAAAAAAAAAAAACCTCATTATATGTCTCAATTACGGAACAATTTATTAATAGCTCAATATTTAATCTAAAATAAGTTTCAACAGAAGCGGTAATTTTATCAGTATTATTCTATTCTTTCGTATCAGAAAAAAAAATTTATTACAATAAGTATATTTTTTGAGAAAAAATTTACAGGAAAATTACTAAAAAATTTTATAAAAATCTTTATGGCTTGAAATATTTATGTTCGTAAATTGTTTTTTTTCTTGAGAAAAATGATATAAGATTATAATTATGGGGCCTTGTAATAACAATGACTAATCTGCCGTACTGATTAAATTAATGTCAACAACGGCATACCATCGTTAACAGTTAAATAGTCTATCTTTTCAATTGAATAATTTTCGGTGATTAATTTGTTTACTATACAATATTTTCAGTTGAATGAGTATCAAATTAACTTATATTCTTTATATGTATATATTTATATATATAAGCCCCACGTGTTGATTAAAATGATTGTACAATATTGAAATGGAAACCAAATAAAAGATATATTTGTTATAAATACTAAGCACATATATTTATATTAATATAATTTATAATTTAATTTTATCACTTCAATTAAACAGAATAATAATTGTTTATTATTTTATACCCACATAATTTTTTTCATTGTTTAAATAGTAAAGTAATTAAGTTTAACAATAGCAATTGTTTAAGTTCAATAAAAATAAACTGTTTGTTTGTTACTTTTTACTTTTTTTGGCATCTTCACATGTATTGTTTGAAGTTTATAAATTCTTTTCAAATTATTGAGTTATATAAAAAGACCGTCGTCTTAGAAAATTAAAAATAAATCTTTTGTTGAGCGAATATTTTAGAGAACACTCATTCTAAACAAGAATAACTACAAAAAGTGTAAAAAGAGTATTAGCTAAATATATGTAAGTGTTCTGCCTACTTCAATTCAAAAAAATTTATCAGCAAAAATATTTTAAATAAAAATCAATCACATACACACAAATTTCTTACGATAAAAATTTTTCACGGTTACTATTTCTTATCTTAAAATTTATCCGATGAAGATTAATACAAACATATATCAATCATAATGAAGTGGTACTTTACCTGTTACCATTATCAGCTATAAAAATATTAAAAAATTTTTTTTTCTAAAGTTTTAAGCAGATTTTTGGATTTGAAAATTCTTCAAATTGAAATTTTGACCTTATAAATTATTTTTAAAAGTCGAAATTTTAATTTTCGGATTTTTAAATAAAAAAATCTTTATAAAATGTGGTACATTAAAAATTTAATTAATTTCAATCATTAATCCGTCAAAAGTAGAAGAAAGTTGATAAAAAAGATGTCAATTTTTAGATATTTTATGGCTGAAAATAGAACCCCCACTTCTACGCTTCTGCCAATAAAAAATTTTCTAGATAAATGAATAAACTTTATGAATAAATTAAAACTTTTAAGAACTTTAACTAAAATTGATTTATTAGTTCGTTAATTTGAATTAAAACCTTGAAGAAAACAAAATTATCAGTTCTGTATCGAGTCGAAACGCTGATAATTTAAATATTTTGCTTCGTATAAAAAACTTATAATTGTGGGAGTATTTTTCCACTCTCGAAACTTTTCGTCAACCACTGTACTCTTTGGGCCATAAAATCCCTTCCCCGGCATTCAAGGGGCTCATGACGTCACGGGGCCCCAAGAACAACGCTGAGTGTTAGAAAAGGCTAACACCCTCAAGAGTCAAGGGGCACGAGGCAGATTTTCCTCAGCCTCCGAGACACACACATCTACGGTCTAGAACACTGGTCCTATTTTCCTTTATGTTACTTATCGTATTATTGTAATCGCGAAGTACTATCTTGACATTATTATTTATACACGAACTATCTATTGTATCATTTACTGATAACTATATTCTACGGGATTGATTCTTTATTGTGAGATTTAATTAACTTCATTCGAATATTGTAAAGAGTATAGTTATAACTTGAATAAATTATAAAACTAAAGAAATAGATTACTACATAATCAAGCTCGATCATGACTTATCTAGTTTCAAGATCGTATCTATAAACTTATTTTACTGAAAGTAAAGGTTTATTCTAACGAAGTTATTTTATAGAAATGCTTAGAAATTCTATTCATAAATTAGCTAAAATCTTTTTTTTTATTTTAGCCGAAAAGAATTTTTTTC